GGCAGGCTTCCCAATTCCCCCTCCTGGGTTTCCTAACACTGGATTATCCGGTCTTCTTAGCCATTCAGTATCCGGCACTACATCTGCTGATGCTGCAACTGCTGCTGCTGCCGCTGTTGCTGCAGCGGCGGCAGCAGCTGCTGCCGGAGGCGGTGGCACGACTGGTGGTCTAATACCGAACCTTTCCTTACCGCCACCGGGAGCTGGCACGGCGTCTGGCCTCTTGTCAACAGGTCAGCTAGCGGCGTGGCCAAACAGTCTAGTTAACCTTACAGCTGCTTTGGATCAGCATCAACAGCTTGCAGATCAATCTGCCCACTTACAGTAAGATTAAAGCATATTATTTGGTAGGTGATAAGCTTCATGGGCCCACTGAAAACTTTGAATCAGGCACCATCTTGCCTACATGTTATTCTGTGGACCACCTAACCAACATAATCCACATTGATAGAAGCATATTATTCTAAATTCTTATATCTTTTGGCCTTGTTTACATTTGAATTCGTCCCGATTAAATGTTGCCATTTCAAGAGACCGTCTCCATTGGATAACTAAACAGGGTAGACTTGTTTAAACTACATTAAGTTAACTGGGCATTTACTTCCTCTTATATTTCCATAACTTGTTTATATTTATTTATATTTTTACCTATTTTTTTCTCTTAATCACCAAGATTTATCTGCTCTTCTATTTTTATTATACAACCACCTAACTTATGCTAATTGGTTGGAAAAAGCAAAACTATTCTGAGTCCATGGGCTGGCTTATAGCGATTCTTGGTACAGTAAATGTGCTTTACCCGCCAGACAGCTAAATTTAACGTAAATTTTTTATTTCAAATGGTTTATGAGACATTAGCTCTGTATGCATACCTATTGAGATTTTTTAGGGTATATATTACAGTGAAATATAGTGAAAAGCGTGAATTTCTTCAATCGATCGTTTAAAATATCATTATCTAAGTCTGTAATTCAAAAATGCTGAATTGCATTGACACTGATTTTTTGATAGACACCAACGGCCTTATTAGCAATTTTAGCTAACATGATAGATGTGGAGTGCGTCACTGACCTTGATTTGGGGATATAGAAATTCCCCATCAGTATTATGACTTCAGGTGGCAAGCTATATGCGAACTATCATCCATTTTACTCTGACTAGGCTTACCAAAAATTCCTAGTAGGATTAGAGGTATGTCCACCGCACATTAGTCTATTAAATAATTTTGCTTCACAGCTTTAAGGTATTTTGCCCCTTTCAATCATAAGGCCATCCACGTGCTGTTAATGCTGATAACCAATCAAATTTTGTTTAATTTTTTATTA